TGTCTGGACCCACTTGGCTGGAGAACAGATCAGTTAGCTAAAGGTCCCGGCCGGTCAGACCCTCGGCCCTAAACACAGACTGACTGGCTGGCCTCATATCTCCACTAAGGACTCTGTGTTCCCTTTCCTCCTCTACAGGCTGCTGACCTGCCAGATCTTGGCCAGACGCAGAAGAATGCAGCTACGGAGAAAACGTAACCCAGAGTACACAACTGAATTTGCGTGCAGGTAAAAAAGTCCAAGGGTTATGAAATGGACTTTGTTATGTTCTATAAATATCTCCTGGTCAAGTTTGGTTTTAACGACGGAAGTAACTAAATCAGTGCTTGGTTATGAAGGAAAATGTCAATCATAAAGAGGGTGCAAACAATGTATTATAAGGACAGGTTAGTTTGGATGCATTAGTGTTATTATAGAAATTTGTGAGAGTGTGGGGATATAAACAGCTCTGGTAAAAGTCGCTAATGATATTCTCACTGCCTCAGATATTGGACTTGTATCAGTACTTGTCCTGTTAGATCTCAGTACTTCATTTGATACAGTTGATCATAATATTATTTTAGAAATACTTGAATATTTTGTAGGAATTAAAGGAACAGCACTAGGCTGGTTTAAATCTTATCTATCTGATCAAATTCAGTTTGTTCCCGGTAATGACAAATCTTCCACATGCTCAAGGGTTACCTGTGGAGTACCACAGGGATCAGTGCTAGGACCAGTTCTCTTTACTATATATATGCTCCCAATCGGTAGAACTATTAGACAGCATGGGGTTAATTTCCACTGTTATGCTGATGATACCCAGCTATATCTGTCTATAAATCCAGATGAAGCTAACCCATTACATGGATTAAAGACATGTCTTGAAGACATAAAAACCTGGATGACTCTTACCTTTCTGCTTCTGAATGCAGACAAAACAGAAGTTATAGTCTTTGGACCAGGGTCCTTGAAAAATAATCCGATTAGTCAGTCACTTCATTTGGATGGGATTAAACTGATTTCAGATAATAAAGTAAAAAATCTTGGTGTTATTTTTGATCAGGACCTGTCATTTAAATCCCATATCAAAGAGGTTTCTAGAATTTCCTTCTTTCATCTGCGAAATATTGCAAAAATAGGCAGACACTCTGTCTACTTTTAAGGGTAGGCTTAAAACTTTTCTTTTTGATAAAGCTTATAGTTAGAAAGGCTCAGGTTACCCTGAGCGTTATGCTGCTATAGGCTTAAACTTCTGGAGGACATAGGGACCCCTATTTCATAATTTTGCTTCATTCTATCTCTATTCTTCCACTCTGCAGAATCTGTTAGTTCAATCTCTAACGTCATGCTCTCTCTCCTTTTTCTCATAGTAGCTTCGCCTCGCCTGTTCCTGTTTGGCTGCGACACCATTCTGGAGAGAAATATCAGCTGTGCTGCTTCCATCAACACCTCAGTTTATAGATGTTGGAGATCGGCCAGTTTTTCATGTGTAGTCCTGTTTCTCTGACTTTGACTGGCTGGATGTGCTCTCTTCATCCTCTGACATGGGAGCTGGCTCGGAGCTCGTCTCCCTGGCTGTGAGTTTCCTGGACGGGGTCGCTTTTACAGCTGCTTTTTGTATCTCTGCTTCTGGAACCCCAGTCGGCCTCGGCAGATGGCCGCTCACACTGAGCCTGGCTCTGCTGGAGATTTCTTCATGTTAAAAGGGAGTTTTTCCTCTCCACTGTTGCTACAAGTATGCTGAGTGTGAGGGCTTGCATTTGAGTCAATGAGTCGATGCAATCAACTGGTTTTCCTTAAATAGAAAACTTTGAATCAATTTGAGTGTATGATCTGGTAAACTGTAAAGTGCTTTGAGGTGACATGTGTTGTGAATTGGCGCTATATAAATAAACTGAATTGAATATAGTGGTCAGAAGCCATCAGGGCTGTGAGGAACCAGGTACCTGAGCGACAGCTGATAATTCCTGCTCCCTCACCCCCTCCATCCGTTGCCCCCACCAGGAGACAGAGAGTCTGTAGGCTATCAGTGCTCAATAAAGCAAATTTCAGCTGGACAGGCTAAACAACACATTCCTCAAGCCCTGCCTATGAGCACCAAACACCCTGAGACAACACACACAACGACAGACGAGGTCAGAGACATCAGAGTGACAAGACAACGAGGGTCATCTTTGTGGTATTTACACCATCTTTAACACATTGTCTCAGTTGGAGCTTAATTTACACGTCAAGGTTTTTTGTCTAAATGCTTCTAATTCCTTCAAAGGAAGCGGCCCTTTGTACTCAAGTGTCAACACTGATCTTTGTTGCTTAAAATAACAAGGATCTGTTTGTTTAAGGTCTTAAAGAAATAGGTTTCTTGACAGCTACCAGCAGTGTTTGACTAATCGTTTCCAGAGAAACAAATCAAACCCGTCATGGTTGAAATGATCTCTGTCAACAGCCAGTTTCTGATACTAAGAGATACCAAAAACTTTGCCAATACAGCTCTAATCCTGCCTGTAACCATTCTAAAAGGACACAAAAAAAATGACTGCTAAATCTTGTAAACTTCATGTTAACCTTGATTCTCTGTATAAAATCAAAATACCATCAAACAAATATTTGAAAAAATAAAGCATAGCATAGTTCAGTCATAAAAACCATTGATTTTTATCTGTGAAAGATAATGGTTATGCCTGTCTGTAGGGAAAGGATGGACAAAAGCTTTATGACAAGTTCGATTTTTAGATTTTGAAACCGTTTATATTCCCATGCACAAATAAAAAAAAACACTGTTTTATTGATTATTAGCAGAGTTTTTGAAATGTTGCTGCTGAAATTTCACAAAGTAAACAATAAAAAATAGTCATAGCTTTATAACTAAAATACTTTTTTTTCCTGATGCAGAGGAAAAGGTTACCATTCAGCCTCCAGAGTGTCGTTTTGGTGTCCCAAGAGGAAACCAGGGACCTGGGTCACATCGATACGCCATTGTTTTTTCTGGGCGCATTCCCCTGGACATATTCTTTTGGCCACTGGAGGGGACTTTAAAATCCCTTTAGGGAATATATCTCCTGCGGTCTTAGGTGTTCTTGGGATCCCCAACAAGATGTTGGAGAGTGTTGCTGAGATGAAGCCAGGTGTGTAGGCTTCCCTGACTAACTTTTTGCTTCTGTAATTCAATCTGTGATAAGCAGGACAGCAGACTGATCTGTAATCATCAATCTATGCTTTGCTCCATAAATGGGGATAAACTGTGATAACCTGACAACAGCCAGATGCATGTCTCGCTCCGCCTAGCTCCAATTTCCATGAGCGGGGACCCAGATGTAAAAGAGCGGAACTAGGCGGAGCGAGACATGCATCTGGCTGTTGTCAGGTTATCACAGTTTATCCCCATTTATGGAGCAAAGCATAGATTGATGATTACAGATCAGTCTGCTGTCCTGCTTATCACAGATTGAATTACAGAAGCAAAAAGTTAGTCAGGGAAGCCTACACACCTGGCTTCATCTCAGCAACACT